AGTGTCCTGCACAGCGTGGAGCGGTCAGCCGTCAGCGATCGCGGCTCTCGGAAGCGCAGATCGCTCGATAGACGTGGCCCGAATGTGGGGCGGTGGCGGTGCTCAGCCCTGAAAGCCCGCTCTGGGGCCTCCCCCGCCGCGTCCGGCGCGGCGCGAACCTGCCGTGGGACCTGGCATCTGGGCGTCGTGGCAAGGGTCGCGCTGTGCAAATTTCTGCCTGGGGGGCAACGAGAAGGGGGACTGCCTCTCCTCCTCCTCCTCCTCCTTCATACTCCTCCTGCTCCTCCTCCTCCTCCTCCTCCTCCTCCTCCTCCTCCTCCTCCTCCTCCTCCTCCTCCTCCTTTCCTTCTCTGTGCAAGTCCGGCTGCGCCCTGTTCTGACTGGGCTCGAAGATGCCACAAGAAAACAAGAAGAGGGGGACTGGCACAGAGGGAGGCACATCGATCTGGAGTCGGCGATGCATCGCCGAAAGGTCGGCGATGGGCCTCCGATAGTGAATCCGCACGCTCCTGGGCGGGGCGGGCTATCAGACTTCTGTCGGTGATCAATGGGCGATTGGGGGTCGATGCATCCCCCCCTATGCCTACGTTGCCCCCGACCTGCTCCGCTCTCTGGGCTCCGGGGCCTCCGCGGAACGAGCCGCCCGGAAAACTAACACAGCAAGGGGGGGGCGAGGGCCCAGTGGTGATTCCTCGACTTTAGGGAGCCCACAAAGGACGTACGCGCCCAGCGATGTACATGAACACGGCCCCTCGATCCGCGAGACCGGCCGAGTGATACGAACATTCGCGCAATGCGTACTCTCGAAACCAGCGCGGATTCATGTACATGTACGTCCTTTTGTCGCTCCTGAGACTTGGGTGCGCCGAGGAGGGCCAGGAAAAGGGGGGCCAGCGTGTCATGGCACAGCGCACGTGCGCGGACGAGGGGGGGGGGCGGGGGGGCGCATTGAAGGGAGAAGAGTGGGCCATGAAAACTGAAGGGATTCCGTGGCCCTGGCCATGGCATCCCCACACCCCCAGCTCGGCGGCCAGCCCGAGCGGGGAGGTGAGATGGGGCGGGCCTTCGCAGAAGGCAGCTTCCTGAGCCTCGTCGGAAGGCACCGAGAACAGTTCTCGGAAGGCTGGCGGGCGTCTGAGAAGCCCCGCCCGCCTTCTGAGAAGGCCTTCTCGCCTTCTCACTTCCCGCCCTGGGAGCGCCGTCGAATGTCAGTCAGAATGGATCCCTGGACCACTCCTTTCCACCCCGGATCGAGGTTCGGGGGTCCTGGGGCCCGAAGACAGCCCTCGGAGGCCGAAACCTACTGAAAAGCCGCCTCGAAGCTCAAACCTCTCACTTCCCCCCCCTCGCTCGCCGCCGACGAGCCCTCGCCCTCACCCCTTGGGGCACCCGCGAGGAGCGTCGTGAGCTTGCCCACGGCGCCCGATGTCCGGGCAGAGCAGCAGCCAAGGAGGTCCCAGGGCGTGTCGGGGCGCAGAGGGCGGTCGGCGAGGAAACCGCGGCAAGCGGCCGCAGCCACCAAGAGGGCCCCAAGAAGCTCTCCAGAGGGCCTCAAGAAGCCACCAAGAGGGCCACCAAGAGGGCTTCAAGAAGCCACCAAGAGGACCACCAAGAGGCCCCCAAGAAGCCACCAGGAGGGCCATCAAGAGGGCCCCAAGAGGGCCACCAAGGGGGCCCCAAGAAGCCACCAGGAGGGCCTCAGGAGGGGCTCAAGAGGGCCCCGAGAGTGCCCCAAGAGGACCTCGAGGGACCAGGAGGTCCAGAACTCCTGGACCAATAGACTTCTGCAATGGGAGAAGACCGGAGCGGGCACCCAGGACTCAACAGCACGTATGCGGGGCACGAGCGAGAAAGCGGCTGCACTTGGGAGCCGCGTGCTTCCTCTCCTGACGCGCGGAAAAGAAGCACGCCACACTGGAGGAGAGGAGGGATAAGAGAGGAGGAGGAGGAGGAAGAGGAGGAGGAAGGCGAGGTCTTCTGGCCCAATGAACACGTGGCTGCCGGCGCTCGTCGAGACGGCCCGACGGCGCCGACGACGTCAGGCGGCCTCCGACCGTCAGGATCATGCAGAAACCTCCGAGTGCCTACCCAAATCATGTATTCCATGAGAACACACACGGACGGCGCTAATGCACAAATGCTTCAGGAATCGCCAGGAACAAGCGCCGACAACAGCTAAAGACCCTTGACTGCAGACGAATACTCAGAAAGATCACCGAAGCCTCCGAAAACCGCCAGAACCTCTGTGGACGCCAAAGTGGAGACGGAAAGAATGGGAACGATGCACGACAGAGAACGCGGTCCGCAACCGACAGCGGCCGCTGTTGGCCTGACGACGCTCGTCATCGATGGGCAACGTCCAGAGGGACACCAACAGCGAGCTCTGCTCATAGTGGACGGGAAATGCTGTCGGTCTTCGTCCACATTCTTTCTACTCTCGAAGGGCATAAAGCGGAGTGTCGCTAGCCAGCCTCTTCTGGGACATGATGTCGATACACTGGGTCAACAAAGCTACTCGCTCGCTCACTCTGTTGATCTGGGCGGCACAGACACCACCAAGTGCGTACCATGCAGGGGCGTTCGGAACCAGCATCGAGAGCGGCAACCTCATCCGCAAAACCTGCGCGTACACCATGCGAAATGCTTTAGAAATCATGAGTTAAGAAATTCATAGTCTCAGAATTTGGAGAAAAACACAGAATGTCTATTCAAATCTTAGGATGTACATTGAAACATTAAGAATAATCGAGATTCTGGCCGAAAACTTTGGTTTTCTTAAGCATCGCCGAGAGTGTACATCAGCCCACTCGGTCCGCCCGACGCCGAAAACTGCCAACGGTCTCGCGCCATGAGGTGGTCACGACGCGAGGGGCGCGCGGGCCTTCCTCCCGAAATCGATCCCCAGACCTCTCTGGGGATGCGTTCTGGCCAGCAGCTGCTCTTGATGGGAGCCCGGTCGTGGCGGCGAGAAGCCTC